GATGATATTTGCCAGGGGAGTTTGGCCGCCTTGTAGGTTTGACTGGCCGCGCAGGGAACGAAACTTAGTAACCTCCCCGCTGCCGGACTCCCTTGGTCCATTTGATTCTCCTTTTTGCCGAATTCTACGATCCGTATTCCAGTAGAAAGGCCTGGTGGAGGCTAGGAATTTATGTGCATTTTTCCACGTTTGTATAAAAGCATACTCGATGTAGAGTGCTATATAATTACAGTTTATCTTTCCTAATCTAACCCTGACACTATGTTATAGCATATCGCTTTCAAAAGCTTTAATGGGTTCTGATGCCTTGTGTAGGAATTTATGTGCATTTTTCACATATTTGTATAAAAGCATACTCAATGTAGAGTGCCATTACAGTGTATCTTTCCTAATCTAAACGTGACACTATATTAAAACTACAGAAAAGTCCAGGGACTTCTCTAAGGTCTTCTACACCTACAAACAAAAAAGTCGATACAGAACATGAACTTACATACAAGACTATGGATGAACCAACATAATGAGTTTAACACATTTGTTAACACTACTGGCTCCAAGAAACATTATTTTGTGTATGTTTTTTTTTGGACACTGAAGGGGTTGTCTCCTAGAATGTAATTAAGTTTATCAATAGGATGGGATGCATAAGATTCTGTTGAGCAAGCCAAAACAATGGTGAACAATCATCATATAGTGAACGGTCCATGATAAAGTGATGTTCATCTCAATCTCATCTGGACAGAATGGAGAAAACCTCTAAATTTTATGGTATCTTCCCATTTTTCTACATTCAATTTATTGTACACCTGTATATGGCTGAGTGGAAGGGTGATTGCCCTTTTGTGACTGATGGACTGTTCTCAATTTAGGTACATGTAAGTTTCTGATGAAAGCACTTCCACCATCACTCATTAGTCACGGGTGTGAGGAAAGTCTCCTTGTTAGTGGTGAGCAGGCTCATTGCTGATTATTTATTTATCAGTCTGTGGTTGTCAGGCCTCGAAATCAATTTTTCTTCCAGCACTGTCCCAAAAATAAATTTCAATTGTCCCGAAGTGAGGATGAACTGTCCCAACCTATTTTTGTATGACTTCAATTTGAAGTCAACTTTATTTTGCTTATGTTCAGACTCCCAGGCGCACTATAATTGTAGAGTAGACAGGAAATTCAGCTCCAAAAGCCGGGACCTGTGCCTGATAAACAAGAGAAGGGCTGACACTCTGATGTTGATTATTTTTCTGTTGTCCCCAAAATGTCCCAAAGTGTCTTTTTAGTTGTCCCAGCCTAAATTGTATTGGTCAGTGGCCATCGGACCACCTTTAGTTTCGAGCCCTGGTTGTGGTTATCAAGCTTGAACAATGACCATAGTTACTTTGATGAAGAGTTAAACTTCCAGGTAATAGCATACCAATATAACAGAGCTAACAATGACCATATTTATGTGTGTACTTTGACATTTGTATTAAGAAGAGTGGCCACATCCTGTAACTTCTAATAAAATTGTAACGTTACGTAAGGCAAATTGGTCAAAGTTTCTGTGAGTAATCTTTACTGAGGTCTTGAAGAGCAAGAGAGGGAACGACTTTCTTAAGAACTTTAACAATGACCATAGTTACATTGATGAAGAGTTAGACTTCGAGGTAATAGCATACCAAGATAACAGAGCTAACAATGGCCGTAGTAATGTGTGTGCTTCCACGTTTGTATGAAGAAAAACGGCCGCACCCCGTAACTTCTCTGTGGAGAGATGAAGTGCAGCGGAGATTGCAGCAATTGAACTTCAATTTCCTTGATTGGAAGAACGTGGACGAGCGGACTCATTTCTCCGTCCAATCCATCTTCGGACGAGGAAATGAACTTGGAAAGATTGGGACGTGTTTTGATACAGGTTTATGGTGGTCATTCATTACTTTAATGGAAGAATAAGATTGGAGTAAGGCATTGGTATTTGGTAGTGAGCTATTCTAGCTCAATATCGGAGATAGAAGGTTTGGGCTAAAATCCTAGGGCTAAGGTTACATCATTCAAGTTAGTTTATTACATCTGGGTACCAGGGCTGGAAATACTGGGTGCATGTGCACCTTAGTGCACCCAGCTTTGGTGCTGTGCACCCAATTTTTTTTCTGTGGGTGCACCAGTGCACCCAAATAGTTTCTTAGGTCTATTATGTTTGTAAATATGTTAAATGTATAAGTTACAGCATTTTCCTAACATCTAAGTGTCAGAAAAAATAATACAATCATTGTTATAGTACTTTTCTTGAAATGAAACATAACTGTAGTTTTTGATGACATTCGACTTATTTTGTCTTATACAATGTATGGTGCACCTAAAATATTTTTTGTGCACACAATTTTTTAGGTTGGGTGCACCAGTGCTCCTATTCCCAAAAATAAATTTCGAGCCCTGCTGTTTTAGGTGGGTTTGTGTGTATGTTTACCCAGCAGACACAGTTGCAGGGATAGTGGGTGGATATTTGGTTACTTAATTGACAGGGAGGTTAATCCCAGCAATTACCAGGTAAAGGTAAATGGACGGTACTTGGAGAAATTCAGGAAGTGATTGACTGTTATTCCTGATGAAATTACATCATACAATCCCTTCCACAATTCCAATACACTCATGGAAGACTAAAACACTTCTCAGAGAGCTAAAATCTCTGATTTCTTGTTTTTCATGGACTCCAAGTCACTACAATCATTGTTATTGCTGTGGAAATGTAGCATTGGTCCTTTCCTTGGTGCTGAAGTTGGTGTGGTTAGCCTTCACATCACAACCTTCAAAACTGAATATCTAGCATGCCTGTAATCTGTATCTGTATAGCCTGTATAACCGCTCTTCTGCGTAACACCCCAGCTTCTGTATCTGTATAGCCAGTATAACCGCCCTTCTGCGTAACACACCAGCTTCTGTATCTGTATAGCCGGTATAACCGCCCTTCTGTGTAACACACCAACTTCGCAGGCACGCGTCGCGGCAGCAGCTGGCTACATTACACCGATCGACTCGTTACACCTAACCCTTGAACATCTAACTCTAAACATTGTTTAAAGCTATCTAATGACAATGCCCCTACTTGGTGACAGTGAGTTCCACTCTGCAATAGTTCTAGGAAAGAATGACTTTTTGAACACCTCAATCCTTGGTTGATAACTCTCTGGTACTTGTAGGCATGGCTATTTCTTGTTCTTTTCTGGGCATTCAGGAATACCATGGACTCCTGTCAGCTAAGATCTGATTCAAGAAAAGAGCATTATCTTTTCTCATAGACACTGCTTTTCTAAATGTGAGAAAAAGATTTTGTTATTACGTTCTGTGACTGAGTACATTGTACATGGCATCTGTACCAGCACAGTTATCTATGTGTCAAGTCATATTGTAGAGTGTTGTATTGAGTGGTCTCCTGACATTCTATCTTGATAAGTCTCAATCTTGCACCACACTATATGCAGGCATGCTGCATACACACAGAATGGGCCCCTTAAAGTAGCCCTATTGGTGTTTTTTCACACTAGCCTATCAGATCAATGCATAGGGTGTTGCAAACTGAAACCACTTGTAAGGCTTAACATGGTGCTGATTTTGTGCTTGAAAATCAATGGTCAGGATTAAGGGATCTTGCAGTGCAGAGATATTTGCTTGCACATTGATTTTGAGGGAGTTTTTTGGTCAGGAGTGACAATGATGCATGTTGAAAGGCAGTCATGTGTATTCATCAAACGGGAAGGAACATTAAGTACTTGCAATATGTTAAGAAATGTACAATTACATGTGATGTTACATTGTTGGTAGTAGTAGTTGTAGTAGTACTAGTAGTGGTTACCGTAGTAGCTTAGTAGTAGTGGAAGTAGTATTATTATTATTAGTAGTAGCTGTAGTAGCAGTAGTATTATCCAGTCTTTGATTATACTGCTGTGGGAGTCCCTAACACACGGTTGGGCAGCAGTAGGCTAGACTTCTCACTTGGGGGTCCTAAAAAGTATTATGTGCAAAGCTTTTATGTCAAGAATTTCAGATCAATTGTTAGAGCGCACAGAAACTGATTCTTATATATTAACAGCCCAGGAATTTTCCAGAAAAAGCTAAGAAGACAATTGGTTTAGCACCACAGAATTGACAAGTTAGCCTGACACCATGTCAAGCTTGGTTAATGCTCTCCTGGCCATACTTGGATGGGCATCTCTCAAATTTCATGCTTAATTCGATAAACCATTAGGTTCCTGCATTCATTGATTTTTGTATGCAATATGCTGTATGTAAAACTGTAGGAATAATGAAGGTCTGGGGAAGATAGGAGGCAATAAACAGCAGGGGGGTTGATAGGTCTGGTTGCTGTAACTATATGCATGTAAGTAGTGCAGTTAAAGTAGTTTTATTTCATACTCGATCAAGATAGCTAAAGTTGGCAAGACTTATGCTGCACCATCCCAAGAATGCCCTTAGTACAAAAAAATGAGACCAGGCCCTTATTAACACATGTTTAGCAGAAAAACCTGTAGGCCATTTCTTCTTTAAAAAAATGTTAAACTTCCTTTAACATGAAGGGAGTTAATCATCAGAGATTTTTATTGACCTTGTCTTTCTTCTCCTCAGTTCCATTGACAGTATATCGCCTATTAACACATATTTGACAGAAAAACCTGGAGGTTCATTCATCAAAAGATACATGTATTCAATGTACACTGTAGTACCTTAATATGGCTGCTTACCAACTGTAAAAGTGTTTGTTAGTTACTACAGGTTTTGCTTTAACTTGTCTTCTTTGCCTCAGCTCTTTTGACAGAACATCCTCTACAAACACAATGTTTGGCAGAAAAACCTGGAGGTCTTTTATATATATAT